TCCAGGGGCCAGGGGCGGCTGCTGCAGGGGCGGCTGCTCCAGGGGCCAGGGGCGGCTGCTGCAGTGGCGGCTGCTCCAGGGGCCAGGGGCGGCTGCTGCAGGGGCGGCTGCTCCAGGGGCCAGGGGCGGCTGCAGCATGGACGGCTGCTCCAGGGGCTAGGGGCGGCTGCTGCAGTGGCGGCTGCTCCAGGGGCCAGGGGCGGCTGCTGCAGGGGCGGCTGTTCCAGGTGCCAGGGGCGACGCCGTGCAGGGGGGGGCGCGAAGGGGCCGCAAAGGGCCGTGAGGAGGCCGCGAAGGGGCCGCAAAGGGGGCCGCGAAGGGCCGTGGAGGGGACCACGAAGGGCCGCGAAGGGGCCGCGACGGGGCCGCGGAGGGGCCGCGACGAGGTCGCGAAGGGGCTGTGACGGGGCCGCAACGGGGTCGCGACAGGGCCGCGACGGGGCCGCGACGGGGTCGCGACAGGGGGGGCGCAAAGGGGGGGCCGTGAGAGGGGGGGCCGCGAGGGGCCGCGCAGGGGCCGCGAAGGGGCGGTCTAAGGGCCGTAAATGGGGCCGCGAAGGGTAAGGTAAGGCAACGAAGTGGCAGTAAATTTTTGGGCAGGGCGCAAAGGCGCTTCGGGCAGCTGAAAAAAAATATTCTTGTGGTGGGCCCTAGGAAGAAACGGTCCCACTAGGGAACCCGCTCTATACCATGTGAAGTAGAGAGGAAAATTGTTGAACTAACAACAATGAGAGTACAAATGTGAAACTGTCAGAATGTTATATTTGTCTAGCCTGCAGTGGGGTGCTCTGTAGCGAGTACAACCCTTCTAGGGTTTGCTATTTGTATCCCCATTCTTGCTAGTTCAGCCCCTCTTTTGCCTAATTCTCTCGACATGGTATCAGAGCTGGTACCTCCTAGGACCTGATTTTCATGGGCCCACCAAACCCGCCACTGTCCATGGCGGTCTCCTGTTCTGCTGTCGCGGTTGCTACTGCAAGTAGCGTGATATTTGCAAATGCTGGCGCTGTTATTGCTGCACCAGTCGCGCTGCACCCGTCGCGCTGCCCCGTCGCCCCGTCGACCCTGCTGTCATGGCGACGAGCTTGGCGGCTCGCGCTGCCCCGTCGTCCCGTCGCCTCGTCACCCGCCTCCTGCTACCCGCCCCATCCCGCGCTGCCCCGCCCCTCGTCCGTTTCGAGCAGCCGGAGGAGCCACGCACAGCCGCACGCAGCTGCGTACGGCCGCGTGAAGCCGCGCACAGCCGCGCGCAGCCGCGTACGGCCGCGCGCGACTGCGCCGCTCCCCTGCCCCGCACCTGCTGCTCGTACGCCAGTGACAGGAGGGGGGGGGGGGGGAGGGTGTGGGTGTGGCACGGTGGGTGACACAGCTCCTGCTGCCGCTCTTCGCCTTTTCCTCCCTCCCTCTGCTGCTGGTGCACCCGTGGGCGGAGGGGGAGTGTGAGGGGGTGGCGAGAGAGATTTTGCTGCACCAACAGCCTTCCCCCCTCCTCTCTCCTTCACTGCCGCGTGTGCAGCTGTGGGGGGGAGGGAGAGAGAGGGTGGCGGAAGTCAGCCGGGCATCTGCTGCTGCCGCCCGCTGCTACCGTGGCACCTCCAGCTGCCGCCCCTGCCGCCACCTGCCCTTGTTTCTGCTGCCTGCTGCTGGGGCCTGCAGGTGCTGCCGTCGAGCCGCTGCTGTCCTGCTGCACGTTGCAGCCACAGAGCCTGCTCCTCAGGCGACCTGCCGCCCCTACGCCTCCTTTTGTTTCTGCCTTGGTGAAGGGTTTGGTTCACCTGGATCTGCCATCACTGCTCTGGTTGCCACTGCTTTTGCCTGCCACTGTTTCTTCCGCTGCACCCTGTCTTGGTGTACCCCTTCAGGGGGCGTCTACTGCATATTCCTATCCTACAGGCAGTTATGGGGGAGTGTCCGAAAATATATGCTATATTTTCTATATGTAACAGCCTGTAGGATTTGGTACTGTAGTTATAGCCTTTCTAGTTGGTGGTGCACCATTCTTGCTTTTGCTTGCCTATTTGTACTGTTTGCTCTATAGTGAACAATCCCTTTTGTTGGTCCAAGTCTCTCTCGCTACTCTCGCTTTGGTCAAACCCTAGCCATGACGCCTAAGTTTAATCTACTATCTTAACATGCTATCAGAGCAGGTCGACCCTCCTGGGTCGATCCTGTGGGTGGGCCCACCACCTAATGCTTCCGCTGCTGTACTTCCTGCCGGGCGCCTCGGGCGCGCGACGACTTCTTCCTGCCGCGCGCGGAGCGCGCGGCGAATTTTTTCTAGGGTTTTGGCCGTTTTCATCCCGCCGTGCGCTCGGGGCGCGCGGCGGTTTTCTGCACGCCGTGCGCCCCGAGGCGCGCGGCGGTTTCCCACCGTCGAAGCGCCCTCCCCCCGTCGCCGTCGACCCCCCGCGTCGCCCCGCAGCCCCGCGCGTCGCCCCCGACGTCTCGTCGCGACACCTTGGGGAGCCGCGCGCGGCCCCCCGCTACCTCGTCGCGACGCCGTGGGGAGCTGCGCGCGGCCCCCGCTGCCTCGTCGCGGCGCCCTGGGGAGCCGCGCGCGGCCCCCGCTGCCCAGAGGTGGCGCCCTGGGGGTCGCGCGCCTTCCCCCTCGCCGTCCCCCGCGCTCCTTCTCCCTTTCGCCCGTTTTAGGGTTTGGGGGTGGGGAGTGTGGGGGTGGCGGCTGTGGGGGTGTCGGTTGTGCGTTACTCTACCTACTCCTCCTCCTCCCTAGTCTCCCTCTACTGCAGCTGCCGCTGAGGGGGGTGGTGTGTGGGAGTCTAGGGTTTGGGGTTTAAGGGGGGGTACCGTGGGAGTGGAGCTAGGGGTGAAGCAAGGGGTGTGTGTCGAGGGGTGTGGGACTGTTGGGGGAGGTTGAGCGGAGACTGCCGTCGTGTCGTCCGCAGCACCTGTATTCCGGGGTTCCGCGGACCTCCGGTAGCTCAGAGAGCCGGCTGCACCTGTCGCCCGTGGGTCCGCTGCACCCTCCGCAGCGACTATTACCCCTGTAGTCCGGGGCTCTGCTTCCGGTAGCCACTAGCGTTGCGCCAGAGCCGTGTGTCTGCAGCTTCAGTCGTCGCCTCCACTCCTTTCTCCTCTCGCCAGCCCTCCTCCTCCTCATTTGTCCTCTGTGACCGCCTCTAGCTTTGCTCATAACTTATAAACTGTTGCTTCTTGAACTTGTGCTCAGAATGTGTGGTGACATCGTGATCCACCCTGAGCTTGTACTGCTTTGCTTGCTCTGCTGATTACACCCCACTTTGGCTATGGGGGTGTGTCAGAATGTTATATTTGTCTAGCCTGCAGTGGGGTGCTCTGTAGCGAGTACAACCCTTCTAGGGTTTGCTATTTGTATCCCCATTCTTGCTAGTTCAGCCCCTCTTTTGCCTAATTCTCTCGACAGAAACCCTAAAGCCGTGTACCCCCTAAGGCTAAACCCACTGTAGCCTACACAACAGCTACACATATATATAATGTTTGACACTCGCGTCACAAAAAATCAATGTATGGCGAAACTAGGCAACCATGCGAAATGCACTGTTGGGCGCAATTGGGTGACAAAAAACTACTGTACACCCGATTCTTCAATCGCTCGGCTGGGTTGTGGTTTCGACACGCGGGATTCTTTCCCGCGCAAAATTGTCATTTCGGAAGACCAGGTGCATTGACATTTCGAACCGCATGCGATAAAAAAAAATGACGAGTCGGTTTTCAATTCGTCAGCGACGTCAGCGCGTTTCACGCTGACCAATAAAAAATACAGTAATGGTCGCTAGAAGGCGACTCGCGTTTTAGACATTGTACGTTTTATGTCGTTTTTACGCGCCACAATTGCTTTGAGACACAAATTTCGACACAGGAATGTACCATGAAAAAAGGTGTTTAGGTCCCCGTAATGGACGCTAAAAGGACACCGTTGTATAGAGCGTACGGCCGTGCATCGATTAAGTTTACTCAAATCCACTTTCGACAAGAATTTTACACACATTGTGCTGGTTAAAGAGTCTGGCCATAGCCATGGCGGCTGTAAGGCGGAGAGCATGTTTCTTGTAATTGGAAACAATCTGGTGGCTCGTGGTGTGTAATAGCCTTTGTTGTATGATTCTGTATTCGAAAACAGCTTCTGTCTAATTTGTTATAAGGGCTTTGTTGTTCCAACTAGCTGCCCGCGCCGTGTTGCGAGGAAGGAAGCTGCCGCAAATGAAGCCGTCGACCGGCCGCGTCGCACACGTATATAGCGAGGCGCTAGGCTGGAGTGTGCGCCACGTCAAACAGCCATTCCACGTCCGCTCTTGAAGAGGTTCCGAACGGATGCTGATTGGGGGCGAGGGCCTTGGGTTGCGGGGAGGAGCCAATATGTGAGGGGCAAACCACGGCCCTCTTGGTTGCTGCCGACCCGCTGCCGGAAACACCTCGGGCCAAAGCGTTTCAGGTTAGACCGCGTCACCGCGTGGTTGGTTGCGCGGCCAGACAAGCAGTGTAACGTAACGAGTCAAGACCATCCATATCTGCCTGCCTCACACCCGATTGGTGGAGCAATTTTTTCCAGTGTGCAATTTTGTGGCGCGGCGAGCTAGTTACCACCAGAACTGGATCTTTGGCCCCTCGGGCAGCAAGGACGACGGCTCGTACGTACGTACACATATGGCAGAAAGGGCATAAACAAAGTTTCAAGCATGCCAAATTTGAAAGACTCATGAGTCTGTGAGAACAAGAATTCGCCAGTGCCATCACACATCCACACACGGCCTCTTAGCTCAGTGGGGTTCCGCTCCCTCGCTACCCTCGTATTGTGAGAGACCGCGAATGGAGAAGGCCGCCGCACACCACTGGGGAGTACGAGCCTTCGAAGCCGAAGCCTAGTCCTTGTCCAAACCCATCCCTTGCCGCAATCCGTAGACCCATCCCGCTCGCTCTTTCAGCGTCCGCTCACACTTACAGCGTCCGCTCGCAAGCTCCCACACGACTTGCCTGCCGCTCCAATCAATTGAGTTAATTTCACCATGGTCGAACGGCGGAGAGAGCGGCAGCAGCAAAACACCGAAACGCACTCAAGCGCGTACGTCGCCTGCTATTTCCCCAGAGCCGCGTCCTACAAGGCGCGCTTCGGCTTGAAGTCCAACACGCTCCGAGCCGTCATCCCGTTGGCGCTAGTCGTCGTGGGCAGCGCTGTCGCGCTGTGGTCGCTGGGCTTGTCGTTCAAGAGCGCGCTCCTCAACATCCAGCCGGTCGCATCGCGCATCGGGAGCTCCGCGTTCGATGCTGATGGGACAATCGGCGCCGCTGGGGGTAGAGATATGAATGCGCTGTCGGCCGACCAGCTAGCCATTGCGCTCAGTCTCAGGCAGCTGGGGAAACCGCGGGAGTCAGTAAGCATAACGAGCCGTGTTGACGACGAGACGCCTGGTGGTAGTAACGCGCAAGACGCGGAGGCGGGAGCTTCGACGCGAGCGGCTGATGATGCGGCGACGCGCGGAGACGAAGGGGCTCGGGGAGAAGGAAAGGAAGGTGATGTGGAGCAGAACGGAGAGATGATTACCGCTGCTGCTGGTGGGATAGCAGAAGGGACTGGAGGAGGGACGGGCGCAGAGATGGAAGGGGAAAGGCAAGCGGAAGAAATAAAGGAGGAGGGTGAGAGCGGGGATGCGGATGGCGCAGCGGAAGATGCTGCGGAGCCTGTCGAGTACCGCCCGCCCACCGCTATCGGTAAACTTCCAAAGCCAGGCTCGCGACGAGCAGTAGCGCTACGAAACATTCTTCAGTTGGACATCGTCGTCACTAACACCACCGCCGGCGGCGACAAGTCCAAGGCGAGCATGCTCGTGCCCGCGCGCCCTGCTAGCGCGTCCAAGCCGCAAGACGGCTTCCAGGCGCTGCGCGCGTGGCTGTCTAAGCAGAAGAAGCGGGCGCTGCGCGACGAGTCCACCTCCGGCCGCCGCGGCGCGGGCAAGCTGCGCCTGGGTTTAGTGAACCTCGACGCAGCGGACACGAAGAGCGCGCGCGCGCGTTTCCCCGAGGCGGAGTTCCGCCCGTTGCCGTTCTCCGCGCCTCCCGCGGATTTGACATGGGCGCAGCTATTTCCCGAGTGGATTGACGAGAAAAACCGCAAGCCATGCCCCGCGCTGCCCTGGCCGCAATGGGCGGGGCCCGGCAACGGCACCGTCATGTGGCCTGATAACGAGGCTGACATTAACGGATCTGACAAAGCGGGCGACGGCGAGGAGAGCGCAGGTCGTGCGGGGAGCGAGGTGGGCGGGGACGGCGCGGCGTGGAGCGTGCGGGAGGAGCATGAGGTGGACGCGCTGATCGTGCGCGTGCCGTGCGAAGGGCTGTCCGTGTTCAACGCGTCGTGGGCCAGAGACGTGGCGCGCCACCACCTGCTGCTGCTCGCCGCTTCCGGCCTTGCTGCCCAGGTGCAAAGGGAGACGAAGGAAGTTTGGGAGTGCGAGAGGAGAGGACGAGATGATGAAGGAAAGAGACGTGAGAGGTGCAGTGTCAGGGAAAGAACACTCAGCGAGGTGCCGTATCGAGTGCATTAGCTGAACATAGCGCAGTGCTAGCGTAGGTGTGTAAATGGTTATGGACAAGCACCGGAGCAATGATCACCAGCGAGGATGCCACTGTTTCTCCAGTGGCATTGCCTCACTCGAGCGAGGGTCGCTCTCCCGTCGTTTCTCTGTCTCTCCTCCCTTCGCTGCTCCCTCTCCCCCATAAAGCTCGCTGGTAAATTCGTACACGCGCATTGCCTCACTCGAGCACCTTTCCTGTTTTCCTCCCTCCGCTGTCCCCCGCCAGTCGCAAGTCACGGAGTTCCCCGTGCTGCTGCTAACGCACTGCCTGCCTCCGCCCAACATCTTCCACTGCACCCACCTCGTCGCCTCCGTCGCCGCCTCCTGGCTCTTCGCCATCCCGCCCCCCGTCATGCGCGCGCGCCTGCGCAACGCGCCCATCGGCACCTGCCAGCTTTATCCCATGCCGCCCCGCCTGCCCCCCGCCACTTCCCCTGGTGAGCTCCCCCGTCACTCCGGCACCCGTTTCTATATCCAAGCTACGTAACACGGTTTGTTATCCTTCTCTCGCCCGCATCATCTTCCCCGTTTTTTATCCATACCTCCCCCTCACCCCTCCTTTCGCCCCCCAACGCGCAGCGCCACAGCCGGGCACGGAGAAGCAGGCGTGGGCGACGGTGCTGCACTCGAGCGACAAGTACATTTGCGGCGCGCTCGCGCTCGCGCGCAGCCTCCGGCGCGTGGGCACGCGGCACGAGATGGTGGCGTTCGTGTCGAAGGAGGTGTCGCAGCGCGCGCAGCGCAGCCTGGCTCTGGCGGGGTGGAAGGTGGTTGCGGTCGGCCGCATGCGCAGCAACTTCAAGGCCAGTAGCAACTATTGCAAGTACAACCACAGGTGCGCGCGATGGGCGGAACGGGCACGAGAGGTCGTAAGAGCCAGCACAGGCAGCGAGGGGGTTGGACGGAGGGAGGGTACGGGGGAGAGATGTAGACGGGGAAAGAGGGAGAGAAGACGGGTTTGTTTCAGGGAGAAGTACATAAAGTGGCTGCTTCATATGCCATCTGCCGCTGCCCTCTTTGCTCTACTCGCTCCTTGAGGCCTGTCTGCCCCCTCATCCCCCCACTCCCCAACGACCTAACCCTCTTTCCCCCTGCCTCCCCGCGTGTGCACGCGAGCGCGTGCGTGCGTGCGTGCGTGCGTGCGTGTGCGGCGGTGACAGCAAGCTGCGGCTGTGGCAGATGGCGCAGTACAGCAAGCTCATCTTCCTGGACACGGACATGCTGGTGCTGCGCAACCTGGACCACCTGTTCGCCATGCCCGAGCTCACGGCCGTGAGCAACAACCAGTTCCAGTTCAACGGCGGGCTGCTCGTCGTCGACCCCTCGCCCTGCACCTTCGCCATGCTCAAGGACGCGCTCGCGCTCTTCCAGACCTACAACGACTGCGAGCAGGTGCGTGGGGGACCGTGAGCAGGAGAGGGTTCTGTTCCATGGGCCTGGGGCCCGTCTGTGTGACGTGCGGATGGTGTGTGTGCTGGTGCCTGTCCCACTCTTATCCAGGATGATTTTTGCCTTCGGCTCCCCCCCACAAGGTACATCCCCAATTCAGATACCCCTCCTTCGACCTCGCTCTGCCCCCTTGGCCCACCCCTCTCTCTCTCTCTCTCTCTCTCTCTCTCTCTCTCTCTCTCTCTCTCTCTCTCTCTCTCTCTCTCTCTCTCTCTCTCTCTCTCTCTCTCTCTCTCCCTCTCTCTCTCTCTCTCTCTCTCTCTCTCTCCCTCCCTCCCTCCCTCCCTCCCTCCCTCCCTCCTCTCTCCCCTCTATTTTTCCTCCTCACGCACAGAGATCCCTCCAATTTCCTGTCAAACTCCTCATTCTCCAAAAAGAATCCTCTCTTAAACGTTCACGCCGCTCCCCTCCCCGCCCCCTTGTCAACATGCAGGGGCTGCTGAACGAGCTGTACCCGTGGTGGCACCGCCTGCCGCAGTCCACCAACTTCCTCAAGTTTGCCTGGTCCAGCAAACCCGAGCACCTGGCGCAGCGCCGTGCAACTCTATCAGCGCAGCCGCCGGTGGTGGACATGGTGCACTATCTGGGCGCCAAGCCCTGGTACTGCTACCGTGACTTCGACTGCAACCTGCTCAGCACTGAGCGCCAGTTTGCAGACGACCTCGCGTTTGAGATGTGGTGGAAGGTGCACGATGAGATGAGCGAGGAGGAGCAGCAGCAGTGCTGGATGCCCACTTGGACCAAGGCTGCTCTGCGTGCCGCCATGGAGAAGATGAGGCTCCTTAAGGAAGACCCGAGGCTGTGGAATGTGACTATCAAGGATCCGAGGGACAATAAGTGCCGGGATTGGGAGGAGAAGTACTCGTGCGATTGGCGGGCGATGCAGTCTGTGCTGGATGAGCCAAAGCACTTCCGATTCTAGGCACACTGCAAATGTTCGCCGATCCTAAGCTTGATGGGTGTCTCGCAGGTAGCAGGTAGCAGACTGCAAGGAGGAATGTTGTGCTGAAATATTGTGTTTGTTACCGTATGTGTAAATTTGTAGGCTTCTGATCGATTGGTCCATTTGTTTCCGTGTTGCGTTTGCCAAACAAAGCAAGTACCAACCACAGAGTGAATTGTCAAATGTTGTAGCCTTTAGTGATGTGTGTCATATGGGGTATAGCAGTAAGGTTAGGCTTATGTATCCCAACCAACCTTTGTCAAACAATCATTCAGATCCTAATCAACCTTATATACCTGGTATCACCTAGGTTCGGATCCTGTGGGATCCCGCTCCTCCCGCTCACGCCCGCACCGCCCGAGCCTGACCTGTACCCAAGTGTTACTCACGCTCGTACCGTTCCCTAACGCCCGTTACGCCTGCTGATCGCGTCGCGCCCGCTTTCCCCGTCGCGTCGCGTCCCCTCCCCCTGCCCATCCTATTCGTCGCGTTGCGCCTGTCCGCCGCAACGTGCCTGTCCCGTCCTGCCTGCCGCGCAGCGCCGAGCCGAGTGCGTCCCATCTCGTCCCGTCTCGCGCCCGTCCTGTCCCATCCCGTCCCGTACGCATCCGGTTTCGTCCCGCGCGCATCCCGTCCCGAGCGCATCCCGTTCCGTCACGCGCAACACCGAGCCGCGCCGCGTCCCGTCCCATCCCATCCCGTCCCGCGCGCGTCTCGTTTCTTCCCGTCCTGCCTGCCACGCAGCGCCGCGCCGCGCTCGTCCGGTCCTGCTGCGCCGCATTGCGCCCGTCCTGTCCCGTCGCGCCGCACTGCCCGTCCTGCTGTGTCGCGCTATACCCTATCGTCCGGCAGTCCTCTGAGCCTCACGCACTGCTTGTCACGCCCTATGCAGGCCCTTTAGGCGCTTAGGGTTTCGGCAGCAGCAGTTCCCACCTCTTCGCTTCCGCTATGGCGACCCCTAGGGTCCTGCGCTTTGACGCCGAGGGTAGGCCGCTCGAGTTCTCGGTCTGGCTCCTGCGTGCGTGTGCGCCGCTTCCTAGAGTAAGGTGCAGGCAAACGAGTCTCTGTGGGCGCACACTTCCGGTGACCTTCTTGTGCCCTCCCACCCTGCACCCTTAGGCGCTGACGCCAGCTCTGCAAACAAAGACCGTTATGCACGCCACCGTGCTGACCTGATAGCGTGGAAGTTGCGTGACGCTGCAGCCTGCATCGCCCTTAGCAGCCTCCTCCCTGAGTCTGAGGAGGTCCTCTTCACTCAGGTTCGTACTGCTAGTGAGTTCTTGACTGTGATCAAGGCCCGATACGCTACAACCATCACTGTCTCTCTTGGTCCACTTTTCCTCCCGTTCCTGTTTCCTGACCTCGCCTCGTTAAAGTGCTCTGCTGACTTGATCGCTCACCTGCGCTCGCTCAATTTGAGCTACAGCGCAGCCTCCACTTGCGCAATGCTTGCAATGCTCCCTCCCCTCATGGCGATTACTATCTATTTCATCGCCACTAGCCTTAGTTCGAGACGCGCTTCTTCTAAAGCACCCTAGCGAGCTCACTATCGAGGTCCTTGAGTCTGCCCTCAAGGACATCGATAGCAACCTCTGCTCAGTAGCCTCCGCCTCTGGCGCTATGCCCCTTCCACTATTTCACGGACGCACTGTCCCTCAGCTGCCCACCCTTACAGCCTCCCTCGCCACTGCTGCTACTGACGTGACCGCAACTGTTGTTACGACTTCTTCGCGGTCTAGGGGTAGGAGTGGCAGGAGGTGGAAGAGCGTCTCATGCAATAACTAGTGACTCTCTTGCTGCAAGTGGTGGAGGTGACGCTCGGGCACGTCAGGCACCTGCTTGACTGTCAGCTATATGTGCTTGAGCGGCGGCTTGGTACCTGACTCGGCGTCAGCAGCAACAGCAGCCACTCCTCTCGCAGCAGCCACAGTAGCAGTAGGAGGATTTGGGGCAGGGGTCAGGACCACGTCAACTGTCGCGCGGTCCCGTTGACCCTCCCTACACCTATCCCGTCCAGACAGGTCCTCGCCGAGGCCTCCCTTGTGGCCGCGGCCACACCCCGGGTCAGTGCTTTGCTCAGCTCACTGACACTCTTCGCGCAACCTACGGCGTCGACGACCCTGCCCCTGACTGGCTTCCTTTTTTTGACTCGCACGGTTCTGCCCTGTGAGGCATGTCTGCTTCTCAGTTGCTTGATCTCTTAGGAACTCCTCATGCTATGTATGCTGTTGTTGACTCTAGTGCTTCTGACTCTATTTACTCGAGAGTTTAAGGCTTAGGTGCTAGTATTGCTGAAGTCCCTGTTGCTAGTGTAGGTACTTTTGTAGACACTAGACCAGGAGTTGCTACGGAGGACGCTTCGCTGTCTTTCACTTTGGACTCCGGAGCTTCGCACTGTTTCTTTCACGACCACACGATGCTTACTTACTCCGCTTCCTACGCCGGTCTCTTTAGCACTGGCTGATCCCACTTCGGGACCAGTCACTGCTCGCTACACTTGTACGCTTCCGTGTCCAACTGTTCCCTCGAGTTTCTTGACGAGCTTTCACGTCCCCCCGTTCTCCAAGAATTTGGTGGGTGTGAGGCCGCTCGTGGACAGTCACATGGGTGTTTGGATCGAGCCATCTGGGGACACTGCGACCTGTGTAGACGGTGACACATAAGAGCCCCAGGCCACCTTTCATGTTGAGTCGGGCTCTGGTCTCTACACACTTCACACTGGCCCCCGAGAGAGGCAGCAGCAGCAGTAGCTGCCTCCGACCCCTGTCACTGCCCCCCGTCAGGTCCCCGCGTCTCACCAGGTTGCCGCCTCCCACCAGGTAGCTGTGTCTGGTAGGGTTCCAGCGTCTGGTCTTGTTGCTGCGTCTTGTTCGTGTCGGTCACTTGCCCACCCCATCGTTCTGTACCTCCACCGCCTTGGTCACCCGTCCGTTCCTCGCCAGCGTCTTGTCTTAGGCCTCCCGCGAGTCTTGCCGTCGCTGCCGCCTTCGCTTGCACCAAATTGCTCCCCTTGCGTCGAGGGTCGCGGTCGTCGTGTCAGCTGTCTTCATTCCGACTATGGGGGTGAGTATCGCTTCGGTGTTCTCGCTGGATTTTGACGTGAGCAGGGCATCCGTTAGTCCTAGGCGCTTCCAGAGTCCCCGCAACAGAATGGGGTTGCTGAGCGCTGCATTGGCTTGGTCATGGATATCGCATGCTCCTCCACGATCCACGTCTGTACGACCCATTTATTGTGGCCCTACGCGGTTCGGTACGCCGCTCACCAGCTGAACCTCTGGCCACGTGTCTCCCAGCCAGGGGCTTCACCGACCAGTCTTTGGACTGGGTCCCCTGGTGTTGCGTCGCGTTTTCGTGTCTGGGGCTGCTTGGCACTTGTTCGCGACACCTCCGCGGACAAGATCTCGCCTCGCGCCATTCCCTGTGTCTTCCTTGGTTTCCCCGAGGACTCCTCTGACTTCACCTTTTACCACCCTCCCCTTCACCGGTTCTTTGACTCTTGTGACCTCCGATTTGACGAGTCAGTCTCCTACTACACCTGGTACCCTTGTCGAGGACTCCCGGTTCCTCCTCCCCCTCTCTTCCTGACTCTCACCCCCCCTCCAGCTCCTCAGGTACAGCTCCCCCCCCCTGGTCCAGCCCCGTCAGGTGTGTCACACGCTACCCCCCCCGCCGCCCCCCTCGATAGCCTCTGGTCTCGTCCCCTTCTCCGAAGTTTTCCTCACAATCACCGTAACAGCCATCAGCACTCCCTCCACAGGCTACTGCAAATCCTGAGGGTTTTGGTGTCCGTATCGCAGACCCTGGAGGTGCCAGCTTTGGAGTGGTTGGAGTTGGAGATGAGAAAGTGCCTCCACGAGATTTTGGTGCCGAGGGTGCTGGAGTTGGGGCTGAGTCGGAGTCTACAGGAGGTTCTAGTCTTCTGGGAGCTGGTATTAGTCGTGCTGTCCCTGGGGGTGCTACGTCTGGGGGTGCGGGTGCGCCTCTTACGGCACCTGGAGAGTCTGGGACTGGCCATGTTGCTGCTGGTGGTGCTGGCTCTGGGGGTGGTGCGACCGGTCCTTTGGAGAGCGTCCTTGGGGCTACCACGGCCCCAGACAAAACTCCTCCCCCCCACCCGGCACGAGACCCGTGTTCGCCGTGCACATGAGGAGCAGATGGAGTTGGAGCGAGAGGAGAGAGAGTTGGAGAGGCAGCAGCTGGAGCTACAACCGCTGGAGGAGCGGTAGCAGCAGCAGCAGATGTAGCAGCCGCAGCAGCAACCGTGGCAGCAGGAGAAGCAGCAGCAGCAGCAGCAGCAACCCCAATAGCAGCAGCAGCTGCAGCTGTAGGAGCAGCCGCCGCAACTACAGCAGGAGCAGCCGCAGCAGCAACGTCCTCCTCCCGTCTCTAGTCTTTAGGCCCTCAGTCTCCCCTCTCCCTCTCCTCCCTCCCCCCCCACTCATCTCGTCTCCGGTCCCCCGCTTCCTCCTCCTGACCCCTCCCCAGCTGTTTTCCCTCGTTCTCAGCCTCCGTTGTCCCCTCCTCTTTCTCACACGTGGACCTTCTCCTCCTGAATTGGCCCTCACAGCTTCCCTTTCGACTCCTATCACTGACTACTACCTCACGTACCGTCCTATTCTCTTTCGTGTTCTCACCTCTCTTGTTACCAACTCCCATGCTTCTCTGACCTCTGTCTCCGCTCTTACTGCCGCAGTCACTGAGTTTGCCTCTACTCGCCGCCTTGACTACGCCACTAGTCTTGTGGCTGCTCCTCCTACCAGTCCTTTGGCCGTCGGGGGTGAGTCTGCCCTTGGCTGTGACGCCCTAGAGGACAGGCAGTTTGAGCTAGAGTTCCTGGCAGCCGCTTCCCCTCATCTCTGTGCCATGCTGCTTGCCCCTGAGGGAGACCCTGACGCCCTTGACATACCGACTCCTCACACTTATGCTGAGGCGGTTTCAAGGCCTTGGGCCTCTCAGTGGAGAGCTGCCATGGACGCAGA